AAATAATAAAAAAATTTTTTAAAAATTATTTATAAAGTAAAATAATATAAAAAAAATACATGGTTAATCTTTAATGTCTTGCCGATGTCATAGTATTTTTTTGGTATTTTTTTAAAATTTTTTTGACGGTCAAAAGAGCCGTAGAAAATCGAAAGAAAAAAAGTAGAGAGATAGAGTAGAGAGAGATAGTAATAAAGGGCAAAAATGTCCAAGGGGGACGGTGACTAGTAATAAGGGGGGCGGTGAATAGTAATGCCCTTATTTTATTGTGGATTTGTGAGACATAAATGAAGTAGGCCAAAAATTGTGCCGTGCGTTGTGAAATTTGTGACCTGTATGCGTTTCGAGAATAAAAAGTGGGCAACCGACCATGACAAAAAAAAATATATTTATATTTAATTTAGTTGTTAATTGCTGCTAATTGATTGTTTAGTGTGTAATATTTAAATGCTAGTTTTCTAGGTGACGGCCGTATTTAGCAGTATATTTTTTTTCTTCCTTTCATACTACTAGTACGTACCACGTGCGATGCACGGGACAAAAATATTAAATGTGTTATTTCACATGATTTGTCCTTTTAAGTATATAAAGCAATACGATTATCATCTATTTTTCATCTCTTTGAATCAGCTTTAAGTATAATAAACAATAAGGTTATAATATATTTTGCATCCCTTTTAATCAACGTTATTTTTTTAGTCAAAATATTAAAATAATTAATATATTATTTAACTAACACATGTATCCTTATTTAAATTTGATTTTAATATATATATATTTATTCCTTGATACAAGAGAGAATAACAATTTTACTTATTCTTGTTCACCATATAATACTTAATGATTATTTTATTATACACTTTATGTCATATAATGTCATTATTATTTATAAAGTTATAGAAGTTGTACGTCTTCTTTATATTTTTATTCTATGTAATGAAAAATATTTAATGCACGTTTGCATTATTTATTTATGAAATCAATTTAAAAAATGTAAATAAATTTAATATTAAATAGTGTATAAATATTTTACAAAATATACACATGTCTTTTTAGAATTTAATTTTATATACTAATTAAACAACTTTGATTTAGAAAATCCTAAAAACTCGATCCCCTATATGATCAAGATTTTTCTAGTTCGCATTATAAGGATTTATGGTTTATTTAGCATACTCAACAATAAAAATATATTTTACAAGAATTTAATTATAGAAATAAATTAAAATAAAAAAAATAAAAAATATAGTCATGGGTGCCAATAATATACAAATAAATTCTAAACAATAGTTAATATGTTTCAATTTTAATTTTTTACCATTAGTAAAACTATTTATTATATCTGGTCATTATCTCTTAAATGGTAAATTATATTAATTTGAAGAACGATTTATTTTTTATATTTAACAAAATAAAGCTTAAGAAACAAATATATTGACAAATATTAAATCACCAATTTGGTTTTGTCTGATTACTTGGAAAAAAAATTCTACCTAATTTGTTACGATTTTTCATAAATATTTTTGGATAAAAAGTGAATATTTGTGAAAAAAACTAATATTATGGTTAGAACTTAAAATATGGTGTAATATTATCTTGACCAAAATATTATCAACATGGATCACATAAATCAATCTTGTAATTCATTATAATGAATATCAATGAAAGTATTACAAATATTAATAAAATAACATTTGTCTTGACCAAAATATTATCAACATGAATCACGAAAATCAATCTTGTAATTTATTATAATAAATATAAATGAAAATACTGCAGATATTAATAATTTATTTAAGTAATTATTTGATCATATGTTATTTGAAAACGTGTAAATAGAAGCAATTAATGCATATATAAAAAATTTCTAAAAATAGCATGCATTAAATGCTTCCTAATTTTTTGCTACTATTTTTAGTAAATGATAATTCTTTATATATATATATAGAGTTAGGATCACATGAGAATGATGTTCTAGGAAAGAAATAAGAATAATTTTGGACCATAAGATCAATCATATTAATGGTTATGATGAAGTCAAAATATGGTCAATCATTAATGGCAATCTAGTAATTATGTGATCATATTGTGATCAATATGTACATTTGACCAATAAGTAAGGGTAATTTCGTCTATACATTTATATGATGTGGGACCCACTTACACCTTTTCTCTTTCCTCTCTCTTTTCTCTTTCCTCACTTTCTCTCTTTTCTCTCCATCACACCGATCTCTGCGCAAACACACACACACACACACACAACTCACGGCGGCCGCCACCAGGAGCTTCGTCGGAGACAGAACGTCAAGTTAGTTCAATGGGCCAACGACATCTATAATACCCGCCTTCGACGCTGCCGTCCGGCGCGGCCACCGCCGTCTCTGTCACGGTGAGGCCATCATGCCGCCAGAACCAGATCTCCCAGCACCACGACGGGTCCGGCGTTGACGACCGTGATCTGACTGGGAAAGACGGCCGTGCAACTGGGTATTCGACGGCGTGCGAGGCCTGCCATCACGGCCAAATCTCCTTGTCGTTGTCTCAGATCCGTTTCAGTGAGGCCACTGCGGCGGTTCTGGCCGGAGAAGATGGCCGGGCGATGGGGCTTGCGGCGGGGGCGGGCGGCTGTGGCAGACGGGTCTGTAATTCTATGGGTGTGTGTGTGCGTTTTCCTTTTTTATTTATTTTTACTTATTTGGGTGCAGGGCTATGTAATGAGAATTAGATAACTTAGAAGCGTTCTTGTGCAATTTTCATTACTTTTATTATACTGTATTTTATTATTGGGATTGTTTCTGTATACATTTGCACATTAATAATACATGTTATGCACAATATTGTGAATTTACAAGCACATTATAAAAAACTGTTAATTTCTTACAAAACTACATAGTTATTAATTGGTTGGATCATTGGTCGATTTGGTTTAATCGACCGAGAGGATGTGGAATAACAAGAATAAGTAGTACTTGTATTATAAAAACATATTTATTGTTGTAATATTTTTATTTAATAATTATATTATATTATTTATTAATAAATGTAATATTCAATATAACAAAATATAATGTGCAATCTAACCGCTATTAATGTGCGAATATTATAACACAACGGTGCACGGTGCCAGTCGGTATTGTGTATATTGATTCGAACAAACTTTTGTCCCAAAATAAATTGAGTCGGTCAACTAAATTATCTTAAATAAAGTGCAAGAATAGAACTCTATAAAGTGCAAGCACGCGCATGTAGATGTTCATCTAGTATAACATTATTGTGCAATCGTATTGCCTCCACGTTTAATAAATCTACCACAAACACGTCACGTGTGATATTTGTTCCAAGTCATGCTAAAATTGAACCAAAACAATCGATTTATTTATTGGGTTGACCGAATTAAATTAAACAATCGAAATGATTTATAATTTATATTATGAAATCTATGTAGTATTTTTAATATTTTTATTTTACATTTTATTTTTGTGTTTTTGGTTGAAGATTTCTAATATATACAAAAAATAAAAATAAGTATCACTTTTTATATAGTTCAGTTGGTTTTATTATTTCAAAAAATAAAGAAGACATTTAACCGAGATAAACTATTTTTTTAAAATACAAAACAAGTAATTAGAACCAACCTACAAAAATTTGATCCGAAAATTTAGTTTAAATCAGTGTCGTCCATTATTGTGCAATGTATCAGTCATTAATGTGCATTTCGTATAACACTATAGTGCATTCGGAACGCACTTATATTGAATTTGAATATACATAATATATTGTGCATTTTATTTATGATGTGCATTTCGTATAACACTATAGTGCATTCGGAACGCAATTATATTGAATTTGAATATACATAATATATTGTGCATTTTATTTATGATCTAATATGTATTTATTAAACTTTCTATAAATTACAGATTTTGTACATGAACCAAATTGAAATAAATCAAATTTCATTAAATTGCTATCAAGCCCTTGAAGATTATCTAATTTTCAAATAAAAAGCTCAAATTCCCAAATTGCTATTCTACCACCAAAGTGTCCCTGAGTCACCCTATTTCGGCCGGCGACATCCGGTGTTGCCGACGGTGTAAATTATCCCGTCGTGAGTTGTAACGGTATCATGTAGAGGGAGATGACGTTTTTTTTTTTTT